AGGAATGACCTTTCCCAAGGTGTTGGAGCGCAACGAGTCGGGATTGTCAGAGTTTTTGCGCCCCATGAAATCCAGCATGAACTTGACATTCGATGCGGCAATCATGGAAGAAGAGAACAACACCCCCATCAAGACGCAGCTTGCATCTCGAAATGACTTTGACGAACCCTTCCGTGAGAATGAAAACAATGAAGACCAGAAAACGCCAGGGTATCCCGATGGGCCGATTGCCATTTATGGCGATAATGTCTACCTATATCTCGAGCCTACCGCAGAAGAAGCATCTCGATTTGATGTCGTCATCAACGTTGCTCACGAAGTCCGCAACCCTTTTGAAGCCAAGCAAGAGCCGGCTAAGCCTTCATTGCACGGTCCTTCTTCTCGAGGCAAAGGCATTTCATCCAACCTAAGCCCCATCCCGGACACGGCTGTGTCAAACTCTAGCTTTTCTACCGCATGGGAATTCCAGCCTTCCGATGACGGTCCTATGGATACAGATACACCCACAACGCCAAAGGCAAATCCCCTCAATAGACCAGAGTATATTCACATACCATGGGACCACAATACCGACATCGCACCTGATCTTATGCGCCTCTGCGAGACAATTGAGAATCGCACCAAGGAGGGCAAGAAGGTGCTCGTCCACTGCCAACAGGGAGCTAGCCGTTCGGCCAGTCTCATCATTGCTTATGGCCTGTATCAGAACCCTGAATTTAGTGTCAACGACGCGTATCACGCAGCCCAGGCCAAGAGCCGTTGGATTAGCCCTAATATGAAGCTTATGTATTCACTGCAGGATTTCCAAAAGGAGCTATCCAAGAAGAAGTCACCAGGCTCTGGCCCCTATCGACCTCGAACTGGAAGGAGTCCATCTAAACATAGACTGACCCTATCCGCCGATGCCATCGAACTGCCTTCCAAAGAGCCTCACACCGCGCCTCTACCGGCAGAGAATGGCAGAAGTAGGCAGGGAAGCGAGATCAAAACTCCTCTTAACATCCTGCCAGGCAACTCGGATGACCCGCAGACCATTTCTCCTGGACCTGCTTCGGCGCCCCTGACATTCTCGTGGAGAGACAACTTTGAGAAATCTGAGCCGGAGCATATGGAGCCGGAACAGAAGAAGGCGAAGCAGATGGAACCTGTAATCAGGGAGCCAGAGCCTAGCCCACGACAGACAAGAATGGATTTTCTTCCGCCGCCCTCTCCCTCGCCTTTCAAGCTCCAGGCTCCTCCTCTGCGGCCCAAGTCAGCTCAAGGAAGGTCAAAGTCAAATTTGGGCCCCATGGGCGGCCACAGACTAAAGCCGACAGCATCCTACTCGACTCTCGGGCTTCGGGACTATTCCTCTTCGGTTCCCCTGGCAACTCCTGGCGAAAGAGCCGTTCACTTTTCGGCCATTTTCCCCGAAGATGTCTTGATGTCTCCCAAGGACGAAGAGATGACGAACAATCCAATGGGTGGCTTTCCGTCTATCGCTGGAATGAGATTCATCGAGCGACAGGAGATTGCCGGGAACTTATTTTCCCCACGAAAGACAACTTTTGGCCGGGAGTCGTTCTTCTCGTTCGGTACACCGACTCAAATGGATCCGCGAAGCCCGCCAACCAAGGGTGAAGCATCGATTATTCGCTCCATTGATGATATCCTATAATAAGCCTCACCATGCTTTTATGACATCTTTTCTTTAGCATCATATCAATCACGATTATTTTGATACAAAGTACATTGTCTTAGAAGGAAAATGGTGAAGCCTGGGTTCTCCGCTTAAAATATGATCTATCTGAGGTGTTGACTATCGGCTCTCCCACCCACTTCTGTGGGTTTGTATGGCATTTTCAGGCGTTCAACGGTGTACAACAAAGCTATCGATTGATCAACTACACGCCTTGGGAGTGGGAGCGTCCATGATTTACCTGGCTCGTGCGAATCAAACAGCCAGTATTTCGTGAGCTTCAATTACTTACTCCTTTTCGGCGTCCTATGTCTTTTACCCTCTCCGGGTCGTTCTGTTACTGGCCGGCGCCTATAAAGCTCAAAGGGAACATTCACTCTCGAGGGGAAAAGAGAGACAGGAAAAGGAAACTTAAAATTAACAGCCTCTTGCACATATCACCCAACTTGTTCTATTTCCCCATGTACTTATCATATTTGCTTTTTTCTTGTGTTTATATACTCGCTCGCTTTTTTCTTATTTTTGCTTTTACAAGGATAGGCTGTTGGATAACAGCAAAACTTGGGAACGTGGAGGGGAGTACTTGGTTTTTTTGTCGGCATGTGTTTTTTTTTTTTTTTTTATCAACCCTCGGTATTTGGTATATATTAAGGAAGTCAAGGAGACTCCAGAGGCGGGCGCGACGTCGGAAGCAGGTCTTCAGTGGAGGGCCGTCAAGCCTCGACGAATGTGAAGAGACGAAAGAGAAAGATACCACGATGGGAGGAAGAGGGAGGGTAAAATGTGTGAGGAGAAGGAAGAGAAGAGGTTAAAGAAAAAAGAAAACCCTTAAACAGAATTTAAATCAAAACATCTATTCCCCCTTACATGGTACTGCTCTCTGTGCTTTTGGTGCCATTTATTTTCTTTCTATTTTCTATCAAGCCCCTGTCATACCAAGGCTATTCTAGAGGATCCCGACAAACGCCATCTTGTATAAAATGAAACAAACTATCCAACCGTCAAGGGGCTATATGTACGTGGCCATCCCACTGAATGATGTTTCCCGATGCGTATATATATATGTACTTTTGAAAAAAAGAGCAGAAATGTGAATCTATCACGGTCTTTAGTTTATGACGACTTCTTCGCCTTGGCGGCTTCCTTGTCCATCTTTTCCTTCCTAGCAATGGCGGCCTCAACGCCAATGCCACCAAAGACGAGGGTGACTCCGAGCCACTGCATCTGGGTGAGACGATGGCCAAAGGCAACGACGGAGAGGATCATGGTGAACATCTTGCGCGTCACGGTGACGGTGACGAGCAAGACAGATGAGAAGGTAGAGAGTGTGTAGACTAAAGAAAAGAAGACTGTCAGTACGGGAAGTTCTTGAGAAATTTGGGGGGGTTTATGTGTAGACGTACAGATGAAGACTTGGCCCAGGGCACCACAAGCTGCAAAGCCCAAAACGTCCTTCCACACAGCGGGATACTTGGTCATGAATTCAATGGCTGCATTCAACTCGCCAGCGCTGCCAGCGACGTCCATTCCAAGCCACTCTCCAATACCGGTAGAGACGAGCGCAGGGCTGCCGAGGAGGTAAAGAGACGTAACGACGGTACTCATGATGTTGTTGGCGCACATCATCTGCGGCCCGCTGAACGGGCGAAACGTCTGAAAGATGTAATCCTGGGTACTATTGGTGAGGCCATCGAATAGGAGGTTGATACCCAACAGCAGCAAGCCCCAAGAGACGTTTGCCTCCTCCGACCGGGTGGATTTCTTGTGCTTGCGCCCAGAGTGGAGAGTGAAGACGGCCACGCCAAGCGTCACGGCAGCCACGACCAGGTACTTGTAGATGGGATAGCGCTTCCGGAAGATTGTAATGTGGAGGAACATGACAGGAAGAAGCTTGCAGCTCTTGGCCAGCAAGAAGGTGATGTAGTCGATGTGCGCAAGACTGGCGTAGCCAAAGGGACTGGCCAAACTGTTGGTGACTGCGACGAGCGCAAGCGGGCCGAGGATGCGGCGCGACGGGAAGATGGGCGGCACGGCCGCGCCCTTCGGGGTCGAGGCCAAGAGATAGACGAAGCCGACGGCGGCCGCGAAGAGCGACTGGATCGTGTTGAGGAAGACGGGGAAGTGCCAGACCTCCGGTGCGTCGGCCGGGCCGTACGCCTTGGTCGTCAACTTCTCCTGAAGAAACGCCCAGGTCAAACTTTTTGCGCGCGCGCGCGCATGTTAGCAAGACTATCCAAAAGAGAAGAAACCGCGATATCAATTTCTCGCAGATAGGAAACACAAAACCTACAATGAAGCGTAGATGCCGGCAACCGCAGTCACAAGCTGCACCAGGCCCGCCTCGCCCTGCGCGGGCTTCGACGACTTCGCCGCGTGCCCATTCGTCGCCTTGGACTCTTTTCCATTGACATCCTCCCACTCCGCAGACTGCTTGTTGAAGAACTCGGATGACGACTCGCGTTTCACGGCCGTCTGCTTTGTGCGCGCCATGGTTCAGAAGACGGGGAAGCGCGTCGCCGATGTGCGCAACAGGAACGATTTTGCGATTGCGCGATCGATATCGATTGAGAGAAGAAAATAGCAGCTGTGGCGATTGCGTAGAGAAGGGACAAAAAGTGAGGATGTAATGCGATGCAACAGCGGAAAAAAGAAGCACGAAAGGGAGAGAATAAGAAAAGAGGGACTGAAGACGTCAATTATGCCGAATAAATATGCAAGCCAAGTGAGTGTTGCAACAGAAATTTGAAAGTTGACAAGTTGGCATCATCTCGCAGCCATGGCGGCGCTCTGACGTCTGGGGAAGGAAGGACCCTGAGGCTGGTGGGGGGCACCTGCCGCTTACCGGAAGGCAACTTTCCCGTTCTGGTTAGGGCCTACCAGAGGCGCGTTAGTTGTATTTTCGTACCGCCATGGAACGCTACAATTCGCGACAAATGATATGAATATACTGGATAACACTGTATATTACTGGATAAATACGTTCAGGAGGATGGGATAGAGTAGGAAGTAATAACACAAGTTGCACAGATAGATCACCAACAAAAATTACAGGCAAACCGGCTTGCGTCCAAATATATTTCAGTCTCTTGCTCAACGACTGACTAGATGCACTGTTATCTAGACATCCCCAATCCCAGATCTGTTTCATGCGCATAACATGCCTTTCGTGCATGTTACGGGGTATTTGCCTGATTCCTGCTTGAAAAAAAGAGAGAAAGAGAGAGTCGTCATCCACTGTCAGAGACAACAGCGGCGAGGATAGAGGGCATGAGTGGAAGACGATATGTGTGTTAACGCCATGTTTACATATCGACCGTCGCGTAGCGAGGGTTAAAGTAGAGGGTTGGCGTGATTTTGGTTGGTAAGGTAAGATTTGTTTTGTTTTGCCGGAGTAAAGATGACACAAGGATCGCGGAGCAAAGAGTTGAGAGAGTGATCATGATAAGAGTGGTCGCGGAAGAGCGAGGTCACAATGCGCACAAGCGGCACTGGTCGTCCCAAGCTGCAAACTCGATTCGTGCTATATCAATGTCTTGATTCCATTAATCTCGGAAGGAGGCGTGGGATAAGAGTATTGTCAGGTTTATGGCAGACAGGTGCGGCCACAGCTTCGTGGTTGGGGGAGGAAAGCAAAGGCGTGCGAGTCGGAAGGTTGAGGTGGGAAGGAAAATTGATGAATCCGTATCGTATCGAATTGCAGACGCCGAATGAGCCCTGCTCGCGTAGGCGTCATCTTCGGAGGAAGCTGAGAGGCTGTAGCAAAAGTGTGTAGTGGCCTCATGGTCGGTGCGAGAATCAACTCACGTAGTAGAGATAGAATCGTTCTGATGGCGGGCCAGTGGGGGTAAAAATGACACGTGAGAAAGCATAACTAGAAGGTAACAAGAGGGAAAGGAAATGGGGAAAGGGGAAAACGAAAAGCGACGAGAGGGGAATCGCAACAAAAACAGGACGGTGGCTGCGTTGAATGCTTTTGGTGATGGACCATAATCATCAAAAATCCTGTCCCTGTTCCAGCGGGGGAAAGAGGAGCCTTGCGGCAAACCAGATCTGGACGCCCTGAAATCCGCCAAATCCAGCCCAAATACAGCTCATTCACAAGTGGTACGAGAAACATGAAGCAACAGCCAGTGTGCTCATTATTAGAGAGTCCTTGATTTACTCTTGGTCTTGCATCTGACTGCGACGCATCTTTTCAGCCTCCAGGTTCTCGTAGAGCAAGAAAAGTGCAGACTCATTGGCCTTGGCAGTGCCCATAATGGTGAACATGCGCTCACCAGTCTCGTCATGAGGGGCCTAAAACATGGTTAGTTTGAGTGTCACGATGGAAGAACCAGGACGTTGGTACGAATCATCGAGACTTACCTTGGCAATAGAAATGCGAGCTCCGGAAGTCTTGCGAATGTCGCTAATCTTGCTGCCGCCACGGCCAATGATGCATCCAACCATGTCGGCGGGGATGCTGATGTTCTGAGTCTGGATTTCCTCGCCATTCTCGTCGTGGGTTGGAGGGCCACGATTCGCAGCATCGGAATCTGAGCGACGGCTAAACGGTCTTGAGCCTCCGTTGCTAAAGTCGGCCCCATTTCCGGTGCGCATCACGCGAGGGCTTCCGTAGTCACCCCGACCGCCGCCGTTGCCATAGCCAGTGCCACCCAGGCTTCCAGAGCCGGAGGGTTGGGTTCGGACGACAGGGTTGTAAAGCACAGTGCCGGTACCCCGCTGCCAATCATCGACCAAGCACTTGGAAATCTCCCAGATGGCTCGCTGGATGCCTTCGGGGGTGCCCTGAACCTCGACAATACGCTCAGTTGACTGAGGCAGCATTTCCTTTTGCGCAACCATGCGAACGCCGGAAACATCCTGGATATGCTTAATCTTGAGACCTTGTCGACCGATAATGGTGCCCATTTGGTTGTGGGAGATGAGTAGTTTGATAGCTATATGATGGTTTCCCTCATGTTAGCGAGTGTAATGATTGTCAAGAAAAGGAGTACGTACGGTGGGTGCCATTGCTTTGGATGACGCCGCCCATGCCGACGGCAGGTGCGCCCTCGAGAAGAGCCCGGGCAACGATGGCGTAGGCCCGAGAGATGGCATCACAGCCACCAGTGATGGTGAGGACACGGTCGTGAACGCCTTGGACGACCTTGCTAACACCGGCTTTTACGCCAGTTTCGTCACGGAGGTCAGCAACATTCTTGCCGCCCTTTCCAATGATAACACCAGCTTCCTTGGAGGAAACAATGGCGCGCAAAGTCAGCTGAGCCTGGGCATATTCTTCGTCCGTCTTAGGGGCGAGCTCGCCGTCGGGGCCAAGTCGCTCGTCCATCTTCAGCTGGTCCAAAGAGTCCACGATGTCGCCGCCATTGGACGAAAGCATATCTTGAGAAGCCGACATGATTGTTGAGTAGTGGTGGTGGTGAAGAAGGTAGTGGAGAGAGGTGGATGCGACGGAAGTTTTGATATCAAGGTAGAGAATCAGGAACTGCTCTCAAAACTAACTGGTAGATGTCAGTTCCAAAGCCCACGATAAATTTAGGTTGAAGATAGAGCTGCTTAAGGCTCCACGTAGGTCGCGCAAGGCGGCGCGCGCATAGTTGGCCCATCTGTGACGCAACCTGCGTCGACTACGTTGGCGGCCTGTTGACGGCGGGATGCGGGACAGCCGCATCGGCAACGGATTTGAAATGCGGCCGAGGGTCATCACCAAACAAAGGCTGCGAGGGCAATGATGCACTTACCGAGTAGTTTTCAAGAAGCTGGAAGTTGCGCGAACGTCGAGAGGATGACTGGGAACGAGGCGGCCGTAAAAAGTTGACAAGACGTCGAATGCGTTTGCCAGACTCTTTTTTTTGTGTGTGGTGTTGGCAGGGATTTGGCGGGGTCGAGAGGCGAGTGGGCGTAAGAGTGCGAAGGTGCAGTGAGAAACGCGACAAGGTCCGGTCTCGAAGGGCAAGGAAGTGCGCAAGAGGAGTCGGAAGATGGGGGTTGGGAGAGAAATTCGTCGGGGGGCGAGAGTGCGAGGAAAAGGGTAGAAGGCGGGAAGAGATGGGGAGATGTGAGAGAGGAAGAGAGCGAGAGAAGACGGGGATTGAGATTGGAGGCAAGGTGAGAGAGAGAGCTCTGGAGGGGGAGCCGAGAAGAAAGTCAGGTGGGGAGCAGAGGTGAAGAGGGAGAAAGCGCCGGACACATGGGAAAACAAGCACACAGCAAGCACAAACACAAGCACGGCGACCGCTAGGCTATAGCTGTACTGTAGGCGCTGTCGCCGCTGCAGCTGTCACTGCCGTGGCCACTGCCACTAGCTAGCCCAGTGCGCTGGAGCGTTTGGACCTGCTAAATCTCGAATTGGAAAGGAATGGGAACTTGGAAGCCAGAGCGAAAAAAATCGGAGACGAACGGTGCGCCAGGAACGGCCATGCTCTGATCTGATACATACAGCACGATGGAGGTATGTACAGACGGGCAGTATTTTACAGACAGGGTACTTTGTGCGTGAGCTTCTCTTGTCTTGTCTTGTCAAGGTGCCCTTTATTGTTGCCGCAAGGTGGACCGGGGAGGTGCTGGAAAAGGCAGTGCGAGTACCTGGCACTACCTATCCTGTACCTTGGTTCTTGCCGGCGTGCATGCTGCCAGGAAGGTTATGCTAGGGTCCTTTTCTGGTATCATCTGCCACGCGATCCAGCTTTTCTCAGCGAAGTCTCTAGGTCCGCTTGCCTAAAGCGGAAATGGAGTGAGAATGCGCCCCCAGATTTTGGCATATCCGCGTTCTGCTATACATACTCGTACAGCACATGCGTTTTCACATGGGAGATTTTTAAACACCATCATTAATATCCGTGGAGGAAAGCGGGTGCATGCATGCCATTCGCGGTTATCGCAATTACCAATGGAACGCAATTTGAACCACGACCGCCTTTATTATGTCCGAGTCCCTTTTGAGTATCTATACACCTGCAGATACCTACTCGTATAGACTCAATTCACCCACCCTACAGCTTTGTCAAATGTCCTCGTTACAAGGCGGCACAGAGATACTTTTTCGGGTTAACGGTGTGACACAAGTTACTAATTGATATTCAACGAGATCCCGGTTTCCCTCCCTTGACTTTTATGCACTGCGCTCACTGCAGCAAGCCTAGTTGATAGCGGCGCACCCAACCCCTGCCCTTCTTTCTTATGGGCAATCAGCGTCAAGACCTATTCAGCTACTCCCCATCATGCCGTATAAGCCACCATTCACAGCTGCAGAGCCTACATGTACACATACACCTACACCAATCGTTTCGCTGGAGGGTGTTTGCAGTGCAGCAAACTCTACTCTACGCCTGCTGTCGAGTCTGGAGTGGATATGGGCGAGCGCACATTCGAAGAGATGATGACACTGTGACTTGCTTCCGTCTGGAGAGTTTGCCTTGGATATTTTGATTGGAATCAACGGTGTTTGTTAACCACCTCCGGGCTGGAATAAATGCCACATAGATACTGCGAACATGTGCAAGCGGTGACTGCGGAATAGCTGCTGTTTGCTATACCGCCAATAGCTCTCGACTGTCGAACGCTTGTGCAGTCTGATGCCTTACCGAAGGCGGGGGTGATATTTTAATGCTGCTTATTAGGGCTTCTTCTGTCCCATTCTAGATAGCTACCGTTGCGTTGTAATGATTGGACTCGGTCCCCTGTCCCATCACATCACAATGGGACGATGCCGGTGAAGACACCTAATCCGCAATTTCCGGAGATGCCTCGATATCAATTGGCGGGCACTGTAAGGCTTTGAACACGAATGGCACATTACAGATAATCAGACACAGCTAATGTATCCTTTCATCTTCTTGTTTCTACTATGTAAATGCTATACATATTATGCTGCACAATTCTATCTAAATATGATGAATAGCGAATTACCATCGTATAACTTCTCTGTCAACGCTGTCGTAATTTCTGCTCGTGTTCTATCCAAAAGTTCTTACAGGCTCTGTGGCCCCAGTGCTCAACCCACCACTCCCCAAAACTGTCCTCTATGTCGTAATCGACCTTTGATACTCTCTCTTCCCTCTTCAGTCCGCATATTATACATGGTTTAGGCCCAGTTGGTACCATCTTTGCAGTTTGGACCAGCATGTTCTCGCTCAGCTCAGGCACCTTAAGATTGAGCTTACCCTCAGTGTTGGCAGCTGCCACGGCAGATCGTAGGCGTCCCACGTATTCGCGCCACACAGCTACCACATCCGCTGCCTCTCTGTCTTCTCGAGCTGACTGGGTTTTGTCGACACCCGCAAGCTTCATACCCTTGCTACCGGCGGCCGAGATGGACATGCTTTTCGCCAGAATCTTGTCCCTGTGCCACCTGTGTTTGCGACCTGCAATTACTCGAGCAGCAGTCGTGGCAAGGAGGATATAACCCTGGAGAAAGTGAATGGCCTTGGGGTTAGAAAGGACCTGCTGCTTGATGGAGGCACTATGACCAGACATTGGCTTGAAAAAGGCATTCGCTGAACTGAAGAGATTGGGAAAGGCAGACAAGATGACGGACGGTGGTGGAACATTGGTTGGAGGAGGGTCATCGTCGTTTGCCTTGATGGCGTTAGATTCACCGTCATTGCCAGCGTCCCAATCCCAGCTCTCAGACTGAGGAACGTTGTGGACAACATCTTTCTTATTGCCGGCTCCGGCAGCCGTATCATCCCAAGCGTCCCAATCGTCATCAAAAGCCTTGGCGATGGATGGCTTTGCTTTATGTTTGGTTGTTGGCCATGCAGTTACTGGTGTTGCTGACTTCGGAGCATCACGTGTCTTCTTGACAGCATCAACTGTTGGCACACTTGTCTTGATCCCAAGATCTGGGAAGGGATTCCGCTCCTGAAACGATGGCGACTTTGGTGGGTTAGGAAGTGTGGATGCTGCCCCAAAGCTCAGTGCGCCTAGGAGCTGGGGAGGAGATTGCTTGTGAGCCACTTTTTTAGCAGGCTGCTGCTGTTGTTGTTGCGGAGGGTCATCGAGAGAGAGCAAGTCTAGCAACGGCGCAGAGTTGAAAGAAGATGCGGGTTTGGATGTGGAGCTTTGCTTTGGCTGCTTCGGTGCTGGTGCCACCGCTTCGAAATCACCAAATTCATCATCATCCTCATCCAAATCCGGTTCCTGGAGCTCAAAATCATCGGCGTCGAAGAGCACGTTGGAACCTGTCGGTGCTGAAGGCATAGAGAACCTTGCATTGCTTGGCGTTGAGTTCCATGACGGGCCAGCATTGTTGGGCCTATTTGCTTGGACGTCGACTAAGGTATTGGTCATGATATCGATGGAGGGAGCCCGGAAAGGCCGATTTCTGGTCTCTGGCTCCTTGGATGGGGCGGAAAAAGCCCCAAACGGATCGGAAGTCTTGTTGATTACAGATGCTGGCTGAGCAGGCTTTGCCGTCTCAAAGTCGCCCCAGCCATCATCATCAGCATCATCGAACGCCGGTGGTGCTGGTGCGGTCTGCGGAGGTGCTGGTGTCGCAGCAGCCCAATTGATAGCTCCGCTGGGCTGAGATTGAATGGGGGGCCATCTCTCAACTGGTGAAGCTGCTGCTGTTGTGAAATCGTTGAAGCCAAAGCTAAAGGGGTCCCTTGCTGCGGGCTTGCTCTGCTGACTTGCGGCTGGCTGAATTGGTTGTTGTTGAGGAGGTGGCGGATTGCTGTTGAATTCGGCAAACAAATCAGCCGACATGTTGGCAGATCTCAAGATGCATGCTCCTTGTAACTGTATGATAAGAGACAAACAGCTGCGTCTAGGTATCGCTGCAGAGATGGACACGGTTCTACTTGTATATATGCGAGCAGTCTGTAGGAGCTTGAGATGAGAGTAGCCGTATGGACGTGGAGTTACCAAAGTAAGCGGAGGACGCGGCTCGACGGCGCAAGTAGCAGAACCTATGCACAAAACACCGCTGCAGGTCCTTTAGGGGCGCGGCATTAGGGTGCCGGAGCCGGGATATCGCGCTAGCAACCCGCCTACAGCGATCTATGACGGCCGAGTATGCGTGTACCTGTACATCCACGTTGGCCAGGTGCGGGGCTATGGCGCCGTACTTTCACAGCCTTCAATCTTCTCACTTCCAACTGGACTCTATGAGATATCGTGGACTGCGTAATATTCACCTATCTGGTATTCCCGATGCGGCAATAGAATAATCTCAGAGCTGGAAGTGAGCGTACCATGTCGATGAGTTTGACCGCCTAGTCTTATTTGCTAGGAACCTCATCAGGATGAGATCTCTTGCAGAGACACAGTGAGTGTCGTGTCTCACAATGAAGTGTCAAGGTCCGCCAACTGACTGCTCCTGAAGAGCGAGATGGCAGGCAACTCAGACGCACTGCGCAAGCGTTGAGGACTTACAGAATGCCGTCCGCCACAACGGCCCTTCGAGCCCTTGCTTATCTGGTTGTCGTTCTGTCTGCTGGAAGGTGAGTCTGCTTACGCATCTGACATCTGTGTCTGGAGATGGTAGTCTGATGCTGACTTGCTACGCAAAGGTCTTTCTTCTGTCAAAAGATGGTGACAGTACCAAGCCAAGCTGGCCTCAATCTCTCCGCGAGAAGAGAGAGTCGTATAGCGAACGCCGTGATCACTTTCTCAAGTTCATAAACCACCCTGAGGCTCTCACGGAGCTCACCATTGACCCTTTGGCTGATGACCCAAAAGTGAGTGACAACTTCCGGCCTAGACATAGACTCAATGTAATCTAATACTTCCAAGTCCCCTTGGAACACTGTCCGCGAAGATGAAGTTGTCAGAGCAGAAATCTTGCAAGACGTCCAAAGGCTGCCGGATGAAGCAAACTATCATGAAGACTATATGCAGCGCATGATTCTGGATATCCTTTTTGTCTATTGCAAGGTGAATCCAGACAGGGGTGGCTATCGACAGGGGATGCATGAACTCCTGGCTCCTATACTGCATGTTGTCGAGCAGGATGCTTTAGACCGAGAATCGACAACCGCTAGCGATGACGAGGATAGCCTCGAGGAGCTGATGCTCGAAACCATCGACCAGTCATTCATCGAGCACGATGCCTTTATCTTATTTTCTCAGTTGATGGAGAACGCTCAGTCATTTTACGAGGTCAAAGATGTGCCAAACTCAAGCCCGCCGACTGACGGTCCATCACAAACTCGATTTCCCGAGCAAAGCTCCGCCATTGTTGAGCGGAGCAAATTCATTCACGAAGTCTGCTTACAGAAGATTGATCCAGA